GTAATTAATATAGCTCATTAAATGTTTATTATCACAAATAACCATGAAAAAGTATCAAAACAATAGTATTATCAAGCATACCAAAAATTATGAGATATTTATATGTCATCTCAACAAAACACATAATTTTACACTAGCATGATCATCTTACCATCGAACTGACAATGCTTCCCGACATGAAATTATAGGCTCTCCTGGTTCAACTACTTGTTGATCCGAGCACACTTTCGACGATATACCCGGCCAAAAGTAATCTATCCCGCTTACAGGCTATAATTTTTCTCTCTTCACACACTTGTGATAGAGGCATTGTTGACTCCTAACTGTACCCTAACGGGTACTAGAGAGTTGGCAGACTACCCAGATGTCTTATAGTAACAATCCCATAAAATGCTGCACCGAATGTCCCTTAGTATTAGCTCGACCATATGAATCTTTCACTCACATATCTCCATACACACATATATCCACATATCTCGGGCGAACTCCCACCCCCATGAGCATACTTTTTTATAATTTCATCACTTTTCGTCACATTCCCATATCACAATCTTATATACATTGTATATAAATATATCAACTAAAATTTGATAACCTTTTATAAATCAATTTTTCATGCTAAAATCATTTATAATGTCACATTATATACAAAAATCTTCAAAACCACAACTTTATCATTTAAAATTACTTTTACACAGTTACAATAGTTAATAAACACAATAAACCATTGGTTTTCCTAGTTCAGTTCTGTTCGAACCCAATTTAAGAGGTTCATGGTTGGTTCTCCCTTTCCCCAGTTCAATATCATCTCCGGATCGAATACTTGGCCAATTCCTAGCTAAGCCAGTCGAACCGACCGATCTGATCCAATTTTGATAACCATGATTTATATACATACAAACATGTTAATGTTGGGTAAACTAGGAAACAGGTGGGCCAGCCCATATGGGCCTAGTCTTTATGGCCTTGTTTGGTATGCAAGAATGAATTTTGAGGAATTGAAATTGGGAGTGGGATTGGAATTTAAAACATGTTTGGCATAACACCTAGGTAATGTGGGAATGAAAAAAAAGTAACACTAAAATAAACAAAAAATTAGTTAAAAGACCAAATTACCCTATCTTCTTCCACTACAATATTTTTTAAATATTACTTCAAAATTATTGCTACATTTATGAAAACTATTGCCTTTTATTTTATACAACATTTTTCAACTATTACATATTCCAATGTTACCTCTTATCTAAGGTAACAATTTTTTAAATTTTAGACAACATTTAGTTAAAACTATTGCCTTAGAGTATGACAATAAGCAGCAATTTTCACCTTAACCTATTACAACAGTTTTGAACTGTTGCCTTTCTATAAAAATTGGTAATAGTTAAGAATTGTTGCATAAATTTAAAATAGGCAAAAATTTAATATTTCTTTTCCTACCTAGGATTTGAACCTTGAATCTCTTGAATATAAGTCTAGCCTCTAACTACTCTTCTAACATTGCTATTATATTATCTATTACAAAATATTATATATACAAATATATAGTTTTTAAAGTAAATTTTGAATTAATTTAATAAATAAAATATTAAAATAATTAAATAAAAAATAAAGTAATAAGAAAATATTAAAAACCAAATAAAAATGAAAGTAAATAATTTTTTTATATAGGTAAATAGTAGGTAACAATTCATAACCGTTGCGAAAAAAAAATATTTAAAGGAAACATTTACTTTTTGTTGCCTATTAAAATAGGGGACGATTTTGAATTGTTGCAATAAAAGAAATTTATAGGCAATAGTTTTAGAATTTTATTGCAATAGTTGAAAACAGTTGTCTATTCCACTTTAGAGTATATTTTTTAATTGTTGCCAAATAAATATTACTTAAAGTGAGGATCAATAGCAACACATAAAAACTATTGCTTATTCATGCATTAGACAACACTTTTACAAATGTTGCAAACCAAAGTATTGCTAGAGGTAAAAAATGTTGTAGTTGTTGCTGATAAAAGCCATGAAAGAAGCTAAATTAGATCTGGCTTTCAAAGCAAGCTAACCTTCTCCAATTTTTGTTCATAGCTTTTGACAACCTTAGCTATCTCGTCCTCTTCACCAAAGCCACACGTGTCACCACCCATTCCAGGAACCTGAAACCCTCTTGAGTTTTGACCTCGTCATCTATATGAGCGTTGATGCAACTCTACCTGTCATTGCCTTATTCAATTACCCAAATTCTCAAGTACAGATGGATTGCAGATCTAAGAATCAAGGACGATGATTGAAGATGGTGATTACATATTTAAGACATAAGGAGTGAGCTAAGAGGGAGACGGCATCACCAATAAGGGGCACAATGTCACCTTTGACGGTTGAGGTGGAGATTGTAGAGTAGAGACAACTCAACGAGGGAAAGGCATGGAGTGAAGGACAATTTGGTCTACAAATTTTTAATCCTAGGATTAATTTTTCAATACTAAGAGAGAGGTGGTATTGGGTATTCCCACCTAAATGGGATTATACTTGAGAATAAATTTATCATTTTCACCTACCAAATATAAAAACTTGGTATTACTCAATCCTAAACTCGGTCACATTTACTTAGTCCTATGTACCAAACATTGCCTATGGGTTCAATCCTTATTCAAAGGGCCCGGGCTTGGGCTTATAAGCTCATTTTTTTATTTTCTTAAATTTTTAAAATTAAATTTTTTAATTATAATATTTATAATGTTTAAAAATTAAAAATAAATGATAAAAATTTATATTTTAAAGTATAAATACACGCATATTCTAAAGTTTAAGTTTAATTTAAAATAAAATGGGCTACTTAAGCCTAAGTCTTTTTTTTTTTAGGGCAAATCAGCCAGATTAAACAGGAAGCACGTCAAATTCGACTTTTATTCTCGACTTTAATACTGAGTTTGAATATAGAACCTCTTCCAAAGAGAGAGGTGGTGTTGCCTAGAGCAAAATTTCTTGTTGAACTTATAAGAGTGAAAGAAATTCAATTTGGGGTTATATATAATTCATAGAAGCAAAGTTGGGATAGTACTGTTCCACTCGGGTCAAGAGGAGCATCATTTTCGAGGGAAGCCCGCCAACTCCGTTCGTACGTAATGTTTGATTTCCGCGCAGATCACAAATCAATTGTTCCCTTTTTTTTTTTTTTTTGGTAGGAAGAAAGAAAACGCACGAGAAAGAGGTGATAATTTGTTGATGTCAGACAATAATTTTCACGTGCATTTGGTATTTGGATTTGTTCAGATTTCAACTAATCCGACTTAGACAAAGCTGGATTGGATCACAAAAGTGAGAAACTCCTCCTAACAAGTGTTTAACACATTACCATATTTAGATTAATCTCGAGCTTGAGATCCCTATAAAATTCGCACATCTCCTAACTGGCTGAGCTACGCACTTATTGGTTTGATGTTACACGTGTTAAATATGATGAGCAGCTGATCACAAAACATGATCAATAGAAAAACTTGATATTTGGAGAAATTGTCAGTACACTCTTAATTCTCATTTGGTTACTAAAACAAAATAAGTTGTAATAGATTAACAAAATAAAAGTAAAAAGTGAGATATCAAAAAGGATATGTGAGCACATTTATAAAGGAGATGGATAATTTAGTTTATGAGATTGAGAATTATAATTTATAAAATTTTTAAAAGATGTGATGATTCTCACATTTATAATATACATTAATAAATTTTATTATGTTTACCATGTGAAAAGGATGGTTGAGTTAATTTTATTTTTTTTTAATTTATTCTATTTCATTCATTTCTAATAACCAAATGGTACTTTAAAATACCATGCCATCCATTCTTGTCAGTAAAATTGCACCAAATTAGATAAATATAATCATATTTGTGATTACTTAATTACTCACTTTTCTCTATCTTCCATTTATTCACGCATCTAACCCCCCTCTTTCCTCTGAGTTCCTGAGAATTAAATTCTCAGGATTTGCACATGAGAGAGTGCTGTTTTTTTTCCCCCTTTGAGTGTCGGAGTGACTATGTGTATATTTTATTTTAATTTCTTGGTTTGTGCCTATCTAATCAGTACTCCATAAAGTTTTGGAACCTTGTGAGAAAGTAAGGCTTTATATTATGAGATCCACTTTGATCAATTCATCAATCAGTTTGCTTCGGATCTTAGTGCTTGTGGCGGCCCATCACCATCTTCTCTAATCATCACTCCCTTTTCCTTTTCATTTCTCTCTATTATTTCTTAAAACCAACTATTATATATATATATATATATATCATATTTCTTCTCTTCTATTCAAATTCAAAATAAATGTGAATCTCATTCCCTCAAATATTTCAGGAATATTAATCTATATACATATTGACAATATTACACTTAATCATTATCAGTCCCTCCAATTTATTAGTCTTATACACAAAGCATAAGAAAATAACGTATTACATGTTTTTTCTATAATTAATTGAATATTATATATATTCAAAGAAATTCAAGAAGGTGAAGATATGATATATTTCCCTTTCGCCAAAAAAAAAAAAACAAGAAGACGTTGAACATAGAACTATCCAAAAAAATTAAAATGAAACAGATAGAAACCAAATAATAAGGGAGAGCAATGAGCCAGTCCAAAACAATTAACGTATGCAATGATTATGAATAGTATTGAATAAGAAAATTTAACGTATAAACATAGTAGACTTATTTTAATGTTTAGAAAATTTCAAATTGTACACTGTTTAATTCCTTTCTGCTGCTATTCCGGTATAAGATTATAATTAATGTAATATAATCATTAAACAAAGGACAATAAAGTTTATTTGACTTTTTAATTCAAAATCTCCTCATATATATATTTCACCACCTCATCACCGAAAGAGCTGACTTCGCACACTTGCACCGAAAACAACAATTATAAAATCAAAGTCATTATTTGACCTGCAATATTAAAAAAAAATTCAAATCAAATTAATTATATGTATAATTAATGTGATGCACTACTCATGAAGATCATCATGACCCCTCACTCTAATCTCTTCCTTCAAATCATTCTTCTCCACACGAACTTCCATTAATCAAAGAGATGAAACCATTATATTCCTCTCTTCTCCGTGTTCTCTTGTACGTTCTCGTCGTCTTCCCTAATGGCCTCTGCTTCGCCGACATCAATGCTCAAACAGGCTGGCTGTGCTCAGAAGCTGATAACTCGCTCAAAGAAGACGATGATTTCCTCATCAATCTCAGAACCACCATGGATTCTCTAGCTGATAACGTAAACAACCGCCAAGGTTTCTACCAAACCAGCGTGGGGAACAAGAAATCCAACACCGTCTATGGTTCTGCACTATGTAGAGGCGATATATCTGCGGACAACTGTTCTAACTGCGTCCTTAATTCCATCAAAGAAGCCTCCGATGATTGCCCGAAGAGCCGTGACGTGTCTATCTGGTTCAGATGGTGCTTCCTGAGGTACGCGAACCAGAGCTTCTTCGGAACTATGGAGGAAACATCAGTGGCAGTGACAAACGACACAGATTTTGAGGAGGCTAAGGTGGTTTCAGAAGGGCTTGAATTCATGGGAGGGCTAGCAGATTCAGCGTCGGAGAAGCCATATATGATGGAGACAGGAGTGCTGGATGTGAATGTGAGTGATGAGAGTGGGATGAAGGAGGATAAGAGGTATGGGATGGCTCAGTGCACGAGAGATATCAGAGAGGAAGATTGCAGGAAGTGCCTGGATGATCAGTTGCAGAACTTCAGAACAGTGATTGGGAACAAGAGAAGATGGGAGATTTATGGCTTGAATTGCTTCATGTGGTACAATGACTATCACTTCTATTCTAATGCTTCCATGCTTCTAAGTGGTGAGTACCATAAAAAAAAAAATATGTTCATAATTTCAAAACTTTGTTTTATTACTTATCACAAGTCAATCTCAAGCAGATACGTATTTCAAATAAATAGGGTTGAAGAGAACTTTGTTTCCCAGAAGTATACTATTTCAAAGAACTTTAATTTCTTTCCGTTGTGGAAATCACTTTATATAATTATATAATAAAAATATGAAATGACATTACTTTTTTTTAAAGAAAAAATTTGGCTCCTCTGGTTAAGCTGACTTAGGTTGGAGCGGGCCAATTAGAACAAAAAGAGATGAAAACCAGTCTATGGGATTCCTCCACTCTTCTAAGTGGCGAGTATCATAAAATATTTTTCATGACACTGGCTAGAACTGTTACGTACGTTTTTTTTTTTTGACGCGTCAGCATTTAACCTTCTGAAATATTTTAAAAAGAAAAAAAAAGAATAGATGGAGATAACTTCCTAATAATATCCAATTTAATGACATATATAATTTTCAGTACCTTCTCTCTCTGATTTATGAAGCATTTCAAAGAATTTTTTTCTGTGCGTATGTGTGTGTGTATAATTGAAAAATGAATTTTTTTTTTTTAGAAAAAGTCAGTCCATCTCATTTTTCAATGCTTCATGAACATAACAAAGTTTTTTTTTTTCAAAAAGAAATGAGAAAATGCATTGTCTTAAGACAAAAAAGACAACACACACACACACACACACACACACTTTCTTAGAGTTTTTTTTTTTCTGCATATTAAATCTTGCTTCAGTGTTAGAGCTGAATTAGCTTAGAATGGACAATTAGGTTAAACCTGATTTGGCTAATTAATAATCATATATAACAACAGATCATATGGGAATGAATGACATCTAATATGGACCTTTTTCTTCTTACATATTTAGGAGCTAAGGGACACAGTCCTTGGAGAGGATACACGATTGGGATAAGTATGGGGATCCTGGCAACGCTTCAGATGCTTTTGTAATTCTGGATTCGGATGTTGACTTTAATGATATATATATATATATATACCCCACAGGATTTTGGATGAATGTGTAATGCCAAATTCTGTAGTTCTTTTTAAAAAAAAAAATTGGTCAACTTCTCATGATACCTCATCACCTTGTATCAATCTGATCCATGGATAGTTTGATTAATATAATATTCATTTTGGAAATTACTTTGGAACGTAAGCATTAAGGATAAGACGTGAATTTGAATAATTATGAGCTGTTTGTTAAGCCATAAAATGTGGTTTATTCGGTACATGAGTGACTTTTTTAAAAAGGAAAAAAATATATGCATATGTTTTAGATTCACCATATTTAAGCAGGATTCCATATACAGGATAAATTTTTTATAAAAAGTTTTTTAAGAACTTGGAATATAAGAAAAAACATGTATCAAACATTATTCCATTATTCAATAAATAAGAAATTATAAGTGTTTTATATAAGTCAACCGGTATCAATGTTTTAATAATAGGACAAACGACGAAAACAAAAAAAGTAAAAAGACTATTATACTATCTATGACTAATTCAATCAAAATCTTGAAACTTCTCGAAATTTCAGGTTATTAGCAAGTAGTGATATTTATTCAATCAGTTTGCTTCAGATCTTAGTGCTCATGCATGTTGGCCCATCGTCATCTTCTGTCATGGCGGCTCATGGTATCAGTTTGTACTTTGTAGAGGCGACATATCAGCCGACATATAACTGTTCTAACTGGGTCCTTGATTCCATTAAAGTAGCCTCCGATGATTGCCAGAAGAGCCGTGACGTGTCTGTCTGGTTCAGATGGTGCTTCCTGAGGTACGCGAACCAGAGCTTCTTCGGAACTATGGAGAAAACATCAGTCGCAGTGACAAACGACACAGATTTTGAGGAGGCCAAGGTGGTTTCAGAAGGGCTTGAATTCATGGGAGACAGGAGTGCTGGATGTGAATGTGAGTGATGAGAGTGGGATGAAGAAGAAGGATAAGAGGTATGGGATGGCTCAGTGCGCGAGAGATATCAGAGAGGAAGATTGCAGGAAGTGCCTGGATGCTCAGTTGCAGAACTTCAGAACAGTGATTGGGAACAAGAGAAGATGGGAGATTTATGGCTTGAATTGCTTCATGTGGTACAATGACTATCACTTCTATTCTAATACTCCCATGCTTCTAAGTGGCGAGTACGGTATAAAAAAAATGTTCATAATTTCAACAGTTTGTTTTATTGCTTATTACAAGTCAATCTCAATCAGAGTACGTATTTCAAATAAATAGACTTAAAGAGAACTTTCTTTCTCATAAGTAATATTTCAAAGAATTCTTTCGGATGTGAAAATCACTTTACATAATGATATGATGAGATGACATTACTTTTTTGTTTTTTTTTTCAAATTTTTGGCCCATCTGGTTGAGCTGAATTAGGTTGGAGCGGGCCATTTAGATGAAAGAGATGAAAACCAGTATGCCTCCACTCTTGTAAGTAATGAGTATCATTAATTATCTGTCATGAACTAGAACTGTTATGTATGTTCATTTACAAGTCAGCACTTAATCTTCTGAAATATTTCAAAAAGACAAAAAGGAAGTGATAGAGATAGAGAAGCTAAATAGGTCAATCTATCAATTGAACTGATAAAATATTGAATTAATAATATCTTGATCAGTTTAATGAAATATTTTGTTGACCGACAGTTTGACCATAGTTTTGATATACTATTAACTTTTTGAACTAATATCTTAACTTGTTTAATAACTGATCTCATTCTCAATAACTTGTTTTTCTCTTCTTTTGGATTTATGAGGTACTAGTATTTCATAGAATTTTTTTTTTGTATGTGTATATATATAATTACAAAATGAAAATTTATTTTTTAGGAATTAAGATTTTAGTCTATCTCATCATTTATCCCAATGTTTCATGCACACGAATTCGAAAAAGTATTGTTTTTTTGAAAAAGAAATGAAAATGCATTTGTGTTTCAACATAAGGCAATATACTTTCCCTAATTCAAAAACAAACATTTTTATTGGATATACAATTAGATCAAAGCTAATTGGCAAATTTATAATCATAAGAACAGATATGGGAATGATTTATGAAACCTAATTAACAAGGACCTTTTGCTTTAAATATGTACAAAGTGCTAAGAGACATAGTCCTTGCAGGGAACTGGTTTCTACGCTCATCCTTAAGATGAAATTTGGACCATTCAAATTTTAATCTAGATGATCCAGATTTAATGTATTATAATATATTATATTTATTAAAATAAAAATTATAAAATAATTTTAATAATTTTTTATTTTTAGTCTAATCTAAATTTAATTTAGAGAGTCTAATTTAATATTAAAATTTTTATAATTAATGTATATTGATTATTCAGATACACTTTGTATGGTCTTAAACTGTGCAAAATAAATCTAAATAATTAATATACATTAATTATAAAAATTTTAATATTAAATTAAATCTAAATCAGATTAAAAATAAAAAATTATTAAAATTATTAATAATTTTTTATTTTAATAAATATAATAGATAATAATATAATAATATTTTAAATTTAAATTATCTAAATCTTACTCTAAGGATGAGTGGGGAAACTCAATCCTCCTTCGAGTTGGAGAGGATATACAATTGGGATAAGTGTGGGGTCCTCGCAACGCTTCAGATGATTTTGTAATTGATCTCAAATGGATGTTGACTTTTATGTCACTCACTCACTCACACACACACACACACACGGATGTCCCACAGTATTTTGGAGATGCACGTGTAGTGCCAATCTGTTCTTTTAAAAAAAAAAAAAAATTGGTCAACTTGTCATGATACCTCATCACTTGTATCAATCTGATTCATGGATAGTTTAATTAATATTCATTTTTGGCATTTCTATGGAAAGTAAACATGCATTAAGGTGGAGGCATGAATTTGAATAATTAATTAGGAGCTGTTTGTTGAGCCGTAAGTGTAGTTTATTCGGTACATGAGTGACTTTTTTAAAAGAAAAAATATGTTGCATATGTATACGTTTTAGATTCACCATAAGAATGATTATACATATACAGGATAAATGTTTTATAAAAAATTTTTAAGAACTCGGGATATAAGAATAAACATGTATTAATCATATTTAAGAAATTTGCATAACTTTGCGAAAAGCTTTTATGATATGCAATCATATACATATAGTCTCTTTGGGGCCATCTGATAAATTTGGAATATACAAAGAGGATTAGCATGATCCCTGCTCAAGAGCGAATAAATAAATAAATAAATAAATATATATATATATATATATATATATATATAAGTGATCGCATGATAAGTTATAAGATAATGTGGGTCCTTAATATTATTCAATATAGAATAAGAAATTATAAGGGTTTCGTAAAAGTCAACTGGTATCAAAGTTTTAATAATAGGACAAACGACAAAAACAAAAAAAGTATTATAGTATCTATGACCAATTCAGGTTATTTGTAAGCAGTGATGGGGTTCTTTTTATTATTATTATTATATTTTCGTGATAGCATTGATTGTTTTTTGCCCCCTTTTTTAATAGGAAAAAGAGACATTTGGCTGATCCATTCATCAACTCATCATCCAACAAAACCTGAAATTAAAGATAAGCCAGATGGGTTGATTAATGGCTAAGTAAATGACTTAAACTAATATTGTTTGTAATTATCACAATGAAATCAAATCTGTGGGATAATATAACAAAATTTAATTAACACTAAACTTTATTTACGCGTACGTTAGCATTTCAACTGTGATAGAATAAAAAAGTCTTGTAGCTTTGGCTGATTAATTAATTAATAACCTAGCTAATCGTGACGTCTAAGTGAAATTTTAACATTTTAATTAAGCTACTCTTGCTCATGCAATATAGTAATAAACTAACGTTACCATTTCAGCTGATGCAACAATTATGCCATGAAATCATCAAAATGTGTGTGTGTTATTATTTATTGCATAGTTAGGTGAGCTTGAATTTGATTTAATTACAAAACAGAGGTTTGGGTATAGGATTGATCTTGTAAACTAATTTTACTGAGGATAATTATTTTTGCAATAACATGATTTATATTTGAATGCCTTGACTCAAAAATAGTGATTTTAAAACTGAGTTAGATGGTCAGACTGGTCCAACCATCAATCAGTTCAGATTTCAATTTGATTAATATATAAAAACTGTTTTGTAGGTTGAGCCGGGTTGGGCCATTTTGGATCAGTGGTCAAACCAGGAATCAAATCTGGTTTTCAAGAACCGAACTATTCAAAAAAAAAATTTGTTAATTTTTTAAAAAATGATCAATTTTTTTAATCATTTGATATTATGTTATATCATGTGACTTATTAAGTTATTATAAACTTAAAATATTTAATTTCTTTAAAATTAAGTAGCAATTTAATATTTATTTCTTATATTTAGATTATTATTATACATATATAATTTTTTTAATTCAATTATTATGTTACTAGTTTGACAATTGGTCCAATGTGAATTGTGAATCACTGATTTTTCAAGTTCAATGTGCAGTCCTATTCTAAAAACATTGCTAAAAAATGATTATAATAAAAGTTAGGGACTTTTGTGCATATAGCCCATATCATAAGATTAAGTAAAAGAAATAGCTTATTCTTTCTTAAATTTTAAAAATGACCTTTTTAATATTTAGTTTATAATTCATTTATAAAATTACCCTTTTAATATATGTTTTTTTGTAAATACCAAAAGATTCAAAATGCAAAAAATTTCTAGAACGAGAGAGATGAATGCGAGAGAGAAGAAGAAATTGGATGCGAGAAACAAATGTGAGACAGCAGAGTGGTGTGAGTGAGCCACAGTCACGATTGTGAGAGATAAACGTGAGCTGAGATACATCAACAGAATGGAGCATGTCAGCAAGGAAATGGATCTATAGATTCATAATTTTTTATTTTATTTGTTTAGGTACTTGACTCTCTATGATAAATTAAGAGTCTAAAAATTTTTATAGACTGTGTTTGATCCGTTTTGGGTAAGTGATTATGTGTTTTTTGTGTTACTAATTCGCAACACTAATTCATTGATATATTGCTCTATATCACTAATATATTATCGCAGATCAACATAACTAGACAATCAAACATAAACTTATTTATCATTGATATATTTACATATATAAATAATGTAGTATTGCATATCAGTAATACAAAAAATACATAATAATTTGCACAAAATGAATCAAACACAATTTGCAAAAAAATTCAATGTTACTGAGAGATGTGAAAATGGCAAAAATCTGATGATAGATAATAGATTTTGGCCTACTCTTCTGCTTCTAGAAATAAAAATTCCTCTTCCATGTCTAATGTCTACTTCATAGTGTTCCTGGGAAAAACAAGGAGGAAGAGAGAAGAAAAGCTTTGCTATGAAGAAAGGCACAGACAATTTTATATTTAGAGAAAAAAGGAATGATTCAGAGAAAGCAAAAGAAATATTCAATCAATTAAGGATTAGTTACAATATATATATTATGTTTTAATAATAAATTTAATCTAAGGAAAAAAAAAGTAAAATACATCTAATTGATTTTATGAATAGACCATATTTTATAATATTCAAAAATCTCATCCATAATTTATAAGAGTTGTATTTTTTGAAGCCACTGAGCTAATTTTTTCCAAAAGGTATTAATATTTGGATGATTTTGATCAAAAAAATATGTATTACTATTTAATTAAAAAGACATGAGTTTTATGATATAATATTGGGATAACATAATTTTAGTCCCTAAAGTTGCTCTTAATTATCAATTCTATCCTTAAACTTACACTTAATATAACTCAGTTTTTATAGTTTATTGAGTTATAAAATTATAGGAATTGATTCATATTGAGTCAAAAAATTATAAGAATTGAATCGTATTTTGAGTTAAAAAGTTATAGTGATCACTGAGTTGTTACTAATCTAATTTCAAGGATTAAATTGATAATCAAGAAAAATTTAAGAACTAATTAAAAGCTATAATTTGTCTATAATATTATATGACTAATTAAAAATTAGAGATAATGAAACTTTTAATCTCTCAAGTTTGTCTTAGTTATTGATCCGGTTCTTTAAATTTAAGTTTTACCAATTTAAACCTTTATATTTTTCTTAAATGATCATATTAGTCCTTTAAATTTGGAAACACAAATTGACTCTCAAATTAATTTGATGAATAAAGTATAGTATGTTAATGACTTAACATATATATGTAGTTAAATGAGACTAATTAACCCTTAAATTAGTTTAGTTTTTATCAATATCTGGTTTGTTAGGTTACCTTTTGTTCTTTTGTTTTGTAAAATACTTTTCATCTATTTTTTTTCTCTACTTAAATAATTGTACTTCTTTTCATTGTTCTACATAACTACCATCAATATTCTATTATTTGTGTTAGCATATTTTAATAGTGTTACTTTCTTTTTAAATAATAAGGATCAAATTGATAATTAAGGTAAATTTAAAAAATCAAATCAATCAAAATTAAACTTAAAAGACCAAATTAATAACCCAAAAATTATGATATATAATTTCATTCACTTCAATGTTGCAAACGGATTTTTTTTTTTTTTGGAAAATCAAAAGCAATTCTCCCTAGCATCTGCTTTGATGTGGTTTATACTTTCCTCTTGTCTTATTTGCAAGATAAATTTTATAATTAATTTTTGATTTAAAATGTAGGATATTTTTTAATAATTAAACTATTTATTTTTTAATTTTATCGTTTCTTGATTAGTATGAAAATATTTAATATAGTTGTATCATTATGTAAAGTCAATAAAATACATATGATTTTTTTATTATATCAAGAAAAAACTAATATTTTTTAAAATAGGTGAAATGATTAAAAATGTCTTACAATAAAAATAAAAATGAATTCTTTATAGTGTAACATAGAGAACTTGAATTTCTAAATAGGCTTATTTGGTTTCAGTACAGAGAAAACGTCGGTTTGGGCTTTAGAAAATAAGTTTTGGGCTTCTAAACGCTCAACCAACCCTTGCATGTAATATCTTGGCACGTAATGTAACAGAACGGCATGCTCGTGATATATTCATGTTAAGTCCACTCCAAATTAAACAATTATGGTATGGTGCATCATATTATATATATATATATATATATATATCATGCCGCCTTATTATGAACAATTAAAAACACGGATCAAGGTTATTACGTTCCTGATGAACATATACAAATTAATAAGGACGTTGGCCAATATAATTGCCGGGAGGATCATAGTTGCATGAAACGAACCACCAGCCATTGGTGCACTGAACCCTAGCACATCCCACACGAACCGAGTTTTTCCACACCACCTGAGTATAATGCAGGCACTGTTTCCCTCCCACGCAAGAGTTTGACGTGTAATTGTAAAACGGCTTCTCTGCCACCCACAGGTTCACGGCTGCCGTGCCGGTGAACGAACCGCTGCCTTTCGCAAGGTTCTCGCCGTAAGGCCCGCCGGAGTGGACCAGGTTGCAGTCACTCTTCCTGGAGTTAACATAGTTGAGGGCGTAGGTTGCCACCGTGTCGTCCCATATTATGTTCGCCACTCCGACCTCTGCACGAGCCACGTTGTGAGCGTTGAGGTAGTCTTGTTGTGAGTTTTGGGCTTCGGAGATTGGAAACAAACAGAGATATAATAAAATGAAGAGGCAAACAAGAGAGAATGAAGTTTTGGAGAATCTCATGTTGTGTCAAGTAGTATGGGATTGTTATTGTTAGAAATCGAGGATGGTCTTCTTGTAGATTAGTACAGGGTTATTTATAGGCAAAGTTGCATGAAAATTAATATTAATTATTAATATATCTATAAAAGCCGTAGAATTAAAGCCACGTTGATCTTGGATTTCATGCAAATACGATATGTGCATTGTGTGTGTGTGTGTGTGTGTGTGTGTGTAAATATATAGCCACTTGAAGTAGCGGGCTAGCTTTATAGCCACTTGAAGCAACTGAGAAAGGGAAAAGGTACTGACGATACTCCGTACTTGGCTGCATTTCATATCATAGACCTCTCTTTTGGTTATCTAAACTGTAGGTAACTTAGAAATGTCATCAGATTAATCCGTTTTCAAAATTCAAACCACCTAAGTTTGGTTTCGTTGCAATCTAACGTAGCTTTTGGTTGTTTTCCCTTTCCATTTAAATCATGAAAACATTTTGAAAAAACATAACTTTAAATCCTTACACTTTATTTATATTTTACTGTAGATTCCTATACTTTTTTTTTTATAGATTTAGAATATTAAA